AACTAAGGAGAAACTTCCTGACAGTTAGAACAATTAACCAGTGGAACAACCTGCCTCCAGAAGCTGTGAATGCTCCAACACTGGAAGTTTTTAAGAAGAGACTGGACAGCCATTTGTCTGAAATGGTGTAGGGTTTCCTGCCTGAGCAGGGGGTTGGACTAGATGACCTCCAAGGTCCCTTCCAACTTTATTATTATTATTATTATTATTATTAAAGCTCATTGGGTGCATTAAAAAAATCTGATAATGTTCTTTTTCTTGTGCCCCTCCTTTGCACAGGTGCTTGGAAGAGAGGTGTATACTTCTAATAACCAGTTGGGTGGCATCCAGATCATGCATAACAATGGAGTCACCCACAGCACTGTATGTGATGACTTTGAAGGTGTCTATACCATTCTGCTGTGGCTCTCCTACATGCCAAAGGTACATTTCGTTTGTTTCTTTATTTAAACAATTTATACATCTCACGGCCAAGAACATCAACCAACAGTCAGAAGACATGACCAAAGCTCCTTAATCTCACAACATATGGACCGATTCAGCCATAGTTTCAACTGGAAGCTGTTGGCATTTTAGACCAAGCCAAATCCAAAAATGCTGGAGAATTCTTGGAAATTTACTTTCAGACAAATCGTCATCAATAAGCATATAGTGATAAACCACACTTACACACCATTCAAAAGAATCGATAAAAAATAGGGGGGGAAAACACTAGAACAGTGATGGCAAACCTTTTAAAGATCGAGTGCCCCAAAACCGCCCCCACCTCTCCGCCCACCCCCGCTCTGCACCCCGCCCACCCGCAGGGCCACCCACCACCTCCATGGCCCGCCGCAGCAGATCACCCAGGCAGCCCAGCAATGCCATGGCAGCCACGCCCTCCGCCCGCGATCCGCAGCATCACCTACGTGTGATGGTGCGAGGGCGGAGTCTTGTTCCCACTGCCCTGGCTGCCATGTCCTTGGCTGCGCTGCTCTGCGCAGAGCGCGCTCGGGGGCGACTCTCTGGGGGGGCTGCTGCTGAGCTGTGGGGGGAGGCGGGGCTGGGGCGACGGCGCACGTGCCCACAGAGAGGGCTCTGAGTGCCATCTCTGGCATGCGTGCCATAGGATTGCCACCACTGCACTAGAACATACCACTTCCAGCAGCCAGCACTCAGATAAGCAGGGATTAACACCAAACAAAGAGTCAGACAGAAGATAACACTATAATCAAGTTACCTCTGAGGAGGAAATGACCCTCACCAAAACTGTTATCCAAATAGATAACAAGACAGATGATTTCTAACTGACATGGCTTTCTCTGGGAAGGATATTCTGAAAATTAGACCCATAAGAATGTGTAATAACGGAGCTTTCTGGCTTGTTTCTTTTGTATTAGAGTGTGTTCAGTCCAGTCCCGGTGCTCACTGTGATGGACCCGATCGACAGAACAATTGAATTCCTTCCCACCAAGGCCCCCTACGATCCTCGCTGGATGCTTGCTGGACGACCTCACCCAAGTATGTGTTCTTCAGAAGGTGGATTTAATCTGGGACAAAGTATGGAAGAGGGCACATTATGTTTGGTAGCACTCCAATTATTTATCATTTTTCATATTTTTATATAGCTACTCATCTCATAATCAAGTAACTCTGGGCGGCGTAGTACAAACTTATTAACAGTGCAGGTAGTCCTCGATTTACGACCATAGATGGAACCAGAATTTCTGGATAATCTTCAAGGGCAGCCCCGTGTAGAGCGCATTACACTAGTCCAACCAAGAGCTGGCTAGGGCATGAGTGATTGTGAGTAAAGTTACAGTGTTGTTGTTGTTAGTTGCGACCCCATGGACAACATTCTTCCAGGCCTTCCTGTCCTCTGCCATCTTCTGGAGTCCATTTAAGCTCACGCCTACTGCTTCAGTGACTCCATCCAGCCATCTCGTTCTCTGTCGTCTCCTTCTTCTGTTGCCCTCCATCTTTCCCAGCATCAGGCTCTTCTCCAGTGAGTCCTTCCTTCTCATTAGGTGGCCAAAGTACTTGAGTTTCAACTTCAGGATCTGGCCTTCTAAGGAGCAGTCAGGGTTGATCTCCTCTAGGACTGACCAGTTTGATCGCCTTGCAGTCCAGGGGACTCGCAGGAGTCTTCTCCAGCACCAGAGTTCAAAGGCCTCAATTCTTTGGCGCTCAGCCTTTCTTATGGTCCCACTTTCACAGCCATACATTGCAAGTGGGAAAACCATGGCCTTGACTCTACGTACTTTTGTTGGCAGGGTGATGTCTATGCTTTTTAGTATGCTGTCTAGATTTGCCACAGCTTTCCTCCCCAGGAGCAAGCGTCTTTTAATTTCTTGGCTGCAGTCCCCATCTGCGGTGATCTTGGAGCCCAGGAAGATAAAATCTGTCACTGCCTCCATTTCTTCCCCATCTATTTGCCAGGAATTGAGAGGGCCGGATGCCATGATCTTGGTTTTCTTAATGTTGAGTTTCAAGCCAACTTTTGCACTCTCCTTCTTTACCCGCATCAAGAGGCTCTTTAGTTCCTCTTCACTTTCTGCCATTAGAGTGGTATCATCACCATTTTAGAAGCAATTTAAGTTTGAAGCAGTGTTAAATAATCTTGGAAAACTAGATATAGGTAGTCCTCAACTTACAACTACGGGTACCGCTGGGACTGGAACTTCAATCGCTAAGCGATGCAGTCATTCAATAAAACATCACATGACTGGACCTAATTTTTATGACTTTTTTTGCCCTAAACATTAAGCGAATCGTGCGCTAATTAAGTGAATCTGACTTTCCCCATTGACTTTGCTGGTCACTTGATCAAAATTTTGCTGCTCGGCCACTGACTCATATTTATGACGGTCGCAGTGTCTTGGAGTCACACGATCCCCTTTTGCAACCTTCTGACAAGCAAAGTCAACGGGGAAGCCAGAATCACTTAACAAGCATGTTACTAACTTCACAACTGCAGCAATTCACTTAACAACTGCCGCAAGGAAGGTTGTAAATTGGGGCAAATCTCACTTAACCACCGTTGAACTTAGCAACAGAAATTTTGGGGTTATTGTGGTCGTAAATCGAGGACTACCGGTATTTTGCATGCAAATTTGCAAATTTCTCCCAGATAAGGAACGGCTGCTGGAGTTGGGTATGTCTAGTTTAACGAAGAGAAGGACGAGGGGGGACATGATAGCAGTCTTCCAATATCTTAGGGGCTGCCCCAAAGAAGAGGGAGTCAAGCTGTTCTCCAAAGCGCCTGAAGGCAGGACATGAAGCAACGGATGGAAAGTAATCAAGGAGAGAAGCAACCTGGAACTAAGGAGAAACTTCCTGACAGTTAGAACAATTAACCAGTGGAACAACCTGCCTCCAGAAGCGGTGAATGCTCCAACACTGGAAGTTTTAAAGAAGAAACTGGACAGCCATTTGTCCAAAATGGTATAGGGTTTCCTGCCTGAGCAGGAGGTTGGACTAGATGACCTCCGAAGTCCCTTCCAACTTTATCATTATTATTATTATTATTATGAACGAGGGAGTTCCAAGCCTTTCGGGTTCCTACTTAGAATGAAGCCGGTGTTACGATGATAGATCTTTTGTTTGTTTGTTTGTTTCCTGGCAATTTGGGGTCTAATGTTCTTCCCTTCCCTTGCTTCTCCCCTCACCAAATCATCTTGCTGGCAATTCATCTGCCTTGCCTTGAGTCTGCATGCTCCAAATGGAGTGACTTTGGTTTCTAATTTAGTAGAGGCGTTTGGGGAAGCAGATGATTTTACCTGATAAGTTAAGGCAGAGATCTCTTAGGTGAAAAGTTAAAGCCGTTTATTAGGAGAGATAGCGCCGCGATATTCTTCAAACTGACGCTCAACACGAGGCCCCGGAATCGAAACGATCAGCTCTGGACTCTCCCGATGAAGAGATAATTTTGAAATGAATGGCCACGTTTTACAGCAGGGGGCCATGGGTATATTAGAACATAGTAATTTCAAGTTTAGGCTTGATAAAACACTTTCCATCCTGTCGGAGTCAGCAAAGGTTGCCGTAGCCACATCTCCACTTTTAATTGGTTTTGCACATGGCTTTGTGGAGCAGAAAGGACTTTTTCACCATTGTTGAAACAGAAAAGAGAGGACACCAAGCTTTTCCTTCCTTCTCTCTCTCTCTCTTTTGCAGTGGTTTTGTAGACAATCGAGGAGTCAAAGAAACCCAGTTCAGGGTGGTAGCAAGAGAGAAAGTTGGCATCAATGCTTAGAGCCAGTTGGGTCTCGTGTTGTGTTTTTCAACATTAACCTGACTAGAAATCACGTTTCCCTATTCCCAGTCTAGCATCTTTATCCACTAGACCAGTGGTGGGGAACCTATGGCACGCATGCCAGAGGCGGCACTCGGAGCCCTCTCTGTGGGCACACGTGCCGTTGCCCCAGCCTTGCCTCCTCCCGTGACCCCCTCCTCACCAGCAGCCCCCCTGGAGGAGAGTCGCCCTTGAGCGTGGCCCACACAGAGCACCGCAGCCAAGGACATGGCAGCCAGGCAGCGTAGTCAAGACTCTGCCCTCTGCCCTCTGCCCTCATGCCCTCACGCCCCATCGTAGTCAAGACTCTGCCCTCACGCCTCACTCTGCCCTCACGCCCCATCGCACAAGACTCTGCCCTCACGCCCCATCGCGGGGCGCAGGCAGAGGGCATGGCCGCAATGGTGCTGCTGTGCTGCCTGGGCGATCTGCGGCGGGCCCTGGAGGTAGTGAGTGGCCCTGTGGGCAGGCGGGGTGGGGGGCAGGGCGGGGCAGGGGGTGGAGTGGAGGTGGGGCCAGTTTTTGTGTACTCAGTCTCTAAAAGGTTCACCATCACTGCACTAGACTGATGTTTTTCAAACTTGGCAACTTTAAGTTGTAAGGGGGAAGAGGGAGTATACTCATGGATTTGTATTTGATTTCTGTTCTGATGTTGAGACTCCAGAAAGGGTGCAAAGAAGAGCAGCAAAATGATTAAGGGACTGGAGGCTAAAACATATGAAGAACGGTTGCAGGAATTGGGTATGGCTAGTCTAGAGAAAAGAAGGACCAGGGGTGACATGATAGCAGTATTCCAATATTTGAGGGTCAGAGAAGAGGGAGTCAGGCTATTCTCCAAAGTATATGAAGGCAGGACAAGAAACAATGGATGGAAACCAATCAAGGAGAGAACCAACCTAGAACTGAGGAGGAATTTCCTGACAGTGAGAACAGTTAATCAGTGGAACGACTTGCCTCCAGAAGTGATGAATGCTCCAACACTGGAATTTTTTAAGAAGAGACTGGACAGCCATTTGTCTGAAATGATATAGGGATTCCTACCTGAGCAGGGGGTTGGACTAGAAGACCTCCAAGGTTCCTAATAACTCTGTTATTCTGTTATTGATAGTTGAGTCACATTTTTAAGTTCTCACAAACTCCCAAATAACACTTTCTTTCCAAGACAAGGGCTGTGTCAACATCTGGAAAGCTTGGGCAGCTGTTGAGATCCTAGAGGCCTTTGCTGGTCCCTCCTTTGGATTCTCCTACTTTTGTTCCAACCCAATATTTTGAACATCGTTTGTAGCTGGATTAATGGCTACATCACTAGGCCTCTAGGACAGTGATGGCGAACCTTTTAGAGACCAAGTGCCCAAACTGCAATCCAAACCCACTTATGCATCGTTGGGTGCCGGGTGGGTGTGGCCCATCGGCTGGGTGTGGCCCATTGGGTGGGCGTGGCTGCGGTGGTAATGGCAGACTGGGTGGGACTAAAAAGTTCAATCAATCAATTCCAACTTTGCAAGATCTTTTTTTTCCCGCGAGAAGTTGAAATTGACTGATTGATTGAACCTTTTTTTTTTTTGCACATGGCGGCAGAGGCCTAAAGTGAAAAGGTTTTATAAAACCCAGCTGAAGGCCTAGGACTGGGGCAACAGCATGTGTGCCCACAGAGAGGGCTCTGAGTGCCGCCTCTGGCACCCGTGCCATAGGTTCGCCACCACTGCTCTAGGATTTCAACAGCTGCCCAAGCATTCCAGGTGTTGACACAGCCCTTGTCTTGGGAAGAGGTCCCAAGAGCTGAATCTGAGACCTTCAAGCAGTGTTTCTCGATCTCATCAACTTGTGGACTTCAATTCCTACAATTCCCTGGCCAGCATGTTGGAGAATTCTGGGAGTTGAAGTACAAAACACTTCAAAGTTGTCAAAGTCGAGAAACACTAGCTTCAAGCATATGCCAGGCTGCTGTGGTGTGGACTATCACTCAAATAATCTGCGACCCTGCCACTGCCAATTATCTGTGTCTTCGTTGCCAGCATTGCCCATTTGGGCAGAAAAACCCTAATAAATTATCTTTAAAAGATAACATGTAATTTTGAAAACTGAAGAGGCTTGAAAAACAACAGCTGTAATGCCTTAGATTTCTTTTGAAAAATGTTTGCAGTGTCTTGAAAGAAAGGAGGGGAGGGAAACACCTTGTAGAGTTATTTATTTAAACCAGCACAAATTCCCTCTGCTTTACGTGTGTCCCATCGTTTAACAATAACTGATGCTTTCTGCTGATAAATGGCCCTCTTTTATGCAGACGAGCAAATTAAAGAGACAACCATTGGCGTGGCCAGGCAGACGGGTTTTGTCATTTTAATATGTCTCGCCTGGTGCAATGTGTTAAAAATGGGACATTACCTCTTAAGGTGATCCGGGGGTAAAATATACACTGATATCCAACCTGTTGGTGGCAGGGTGGATGAAGGTCCAAAATCAGTGCAGCGTGTTTATGAGAGTTGTGTGTCTCAGCTTCTGAGAACATGCAAAGTACAGCTGATAAGAGAGGCTAGACATGGATTTTTTAAATGTTTATTTATTTATTTGTATATCATCATCATCATCACCACCATCACCACCATCATCATCATCATCATCATCATCATCATTATTATTATTATTATTATTATTATTATTATTATTATTATTGATCATCGCACAGCCAGATGTTCAGACTGGATTTGGCATTTTGTCTACCTATCGAGTCCTTACCAAGGACCTGGGATAGGCAGATGTGGATGTTTGATGGTATTACAGATATCGTCGCAGGATGGAAGCAGTTCCTAGTAAGGCTGCCTTTTGCAATTGACTGATGGCGAATTTGTCAATGCCGATGATGGTGTTCAAGTGGTGCTCCAGTTGTTTTGGGATTGCCCCCAAGGCGCCTATTACTATTGGTACTACCCTTGCTTCCTTTTGCCACAGTCTTTCTATTTCTATTTGTAGGTCTTTGTATTTTGTTATCTTCTCCAGTTCTTTCTCGTCTATTCTGCTGTCTCCGGGCGCTGCCACGTCCACTATCCAGACTTTTTTGTTTTTCTTATCGACAATTGTTAAGTCCGGGGTGTTATGTTGCAGGTGCTTGTCTGTTTAAATTCTGAAGTCCCAGAGCAGTTTAATTTTTTCATTTTCTATGACTTTCTCTATTTTATGATCCCACCAGTTCTTGCTTACAGGCAAATGATATTTCTTGCAGATCTTCCAATGCACCATTGTTGCTACTTTGTCATGCCGCTGCTTGTAGTCAGTCTGTGCGATCTTCTTGCAGCAGCTTACCAGGTGGTCCACTGTTTCTTCAGCTTCTTTGCATAGGCGGCACTTACTGTCTGTTGCTGTCTTCTCAATTTTGACTTTATATGCATTTGTCCTTAAGGCTTGGTCTTGTGCAGCCAGAATTAATCTCTTTCTTCAATTTTCCTGCTCTTAGCCATTGCCAGGTCTTGTTATTATCTGCTTTCTCAGCTATTTTTTTAATGTACTGGCCATGTAGTGCTTTGTCTTCCCATGCCTCTATTCTGTTCTTCATTTGGTCTTTCTTATAGGCCAGTTTGGTCTCTCCAGTAGTCAGCAAGCCTTCCATCATCATCATCATCATCATCATCATCATCATCATTATTATTATTATTATTATTATTATTATTATTATTATTATTATTATTATTATTATTATTATTAACTACTACTACTACTACTACTACTACTACTACTACTACTACTACTACAAATAACTAAAGGCAGTGAACATATCCAAAACCCTTTCCTCCTCCTATTTTCCCCACAACAACAGCCCTGTGAGGTAGGATTTATAGACTAAATTCTTCCTTGACATTCAACATGGTATTCGGACAACACATTTTACACAAGTCAGGAAAAGGTCTTACAAGTTCACTTGCAAATACCCTTAGCCAGGATGGTGTTAACCTGGGTTAGTTTTCAAAATGACTTAAGTTGTTGAAATCCAACCTGTGTGGTCAGTTTATACTTCAGCTCATCGCGTGAAGTGAGGTACATAAGTCAGTTCAGTGAATGGGTTAAACATATTGCGTCCTATCCGTTTCCAATTGATTTTTGGCTTTTTCTGGACAAGTGAGAAAAATTTACAAACAAGGTAGTGGATTGTTGTTGTGCACCATTATTTTCTAAAAATGCTGGAGTGACCTATCTAGATGGAGTCTAAGGACATTGTTGGCAATAAAGATGCTTTGCTTTTCGCTATGCGATCTCTATTTTTAATTTTGCCTAATATTTAAGAAGCTGAAAAACTGAGTGAAGCAGAGGGCGTAGTGTGGACATAAGAAGATACGGTGGTGATCTCCGTGTTATGTAAACACAGCCATTGCTTCTAAAGCACCTGATATTTATATGGGTCAGGGGTATCCAACCTTGGCAACTTTAAGACCCGTGGACTTCAACTCCCAGAATTCTCAGCTATGGGGAGTCCACAAGTTCAAGACAAGCTCTCAGTTTTATGATGGAAAAGAAGAAAGGAATGAGTGGAAGAATGGAGAAGTGATAGTTAGGAAGCTCTTTACAGTACTATCTTCTTCCTGGACATCTTGGATGTTGGGAAGAAGGAAAGAAGATTTCCCGTTCTAGTAGAATTTAAATCTGCTCTTCTGTTCTCCAAACCAAGCTCTTCTATGGCACCAAGTAGATCCTGAAGTTGAAACTCAAGTACTTTGGCCACCTAATGAGAAGGAAGGACTCCCTGGAGAAGACCCTAATGCTGGGAAAGATGGAGGGCAATAGAAGAAGGGGACGACAGAGAATGAGGTGGCTGGATGGAGTCACTGAAGCAGGAGGCGTGAGCTTTAATGGACTCCAGAAGATGGTAGAGGACAGGAAGGCCTGGAGGAACGTTGTCCATGGGCTCGTGATAGGTCGGACACGACTTCGCAACTAACAACAAAAATGCTAAGTTTCCATTGTTCTTAATATTTCCCCTTTTCTCCCTGTCTTTGCAGCTCAAAAGGGCCAGTGGCTAAGTGGCTTCTTTGATTATGGCTCCTTTTTGGAGATTATGCAACCCTGGGCTCAGACAGTTGTGGTTGGCAGAGCCAGGTAAGTCTTTAACAAAGATTAAGAATAGTAGCAACAGTAATAATCGTGCACGGAGCGCTTTAGCATCCTCAGAGCTCTTAAGATCCTCTTTTATTAGGGTAAGAACCCTGTAAGGTAGCAAGATAACGGAATTAAAAAGGAATCGGGGTCATTGCGTGTTATTGGCAAATGCAAAACACAAAACTATTGGGGTGCAAAGTGTTTTGAATTCAAAATGTTCTGAGCTTCAGACAGCTCTTCTGGTCTTTACAAAAGGGTTTTGATGCTAGTTCTAATTGTTTGGGATATGTTCTGAGCAGGAATCAGGAGCTGTTTCAGAGTATTTCACTCATTTCAAGCTGAAAATCTCAGGAATATCCCTCCTCAAAATGAGCCCATTGGTAAGCCAAACCCTCAAGACTGTACATGAACCTTGTGGATCTGTAGGTATATTTTTGAACCTCAATAGAGAATATTATTTATCGGTGGTTTGCATTTAATCCATCCTTTTGAATCCTTTTTTTAAAAATTAGATCATAATGCTTTGTTATGGGGAAGTGGCCTGAAAAAAAGATACTGCTGCTTTAAAGAGTCCGCTCATTAAAATTACTGCAGATTTTAAAGTTACAGTAACTGTTTCTCAGACTTGCAAAAAAAGCTCGAAAAAAGCAAGTTGCTTTAAGGAGTTGTGCTCCTCCAAGGCTAAAGCATTTCCCGCAAATCGTTTTCAAAGTTGACACAGTCCATCTAGCTGTGGATCCATAATCACACACCAAATCTAGAATTTGGGTGGTTGATGCATCTATTTTATGCCTTTGGCCCTTTATTATTATTAGTTTATGTTCTTTGTGTTCAGCTTAGGGGCATGATGGCTCAGCGGTTAAAGAGGCTGAGCTTGTCAGCTGGAAAGTTGACAGCCTGGGTTTGAGATCTGAGCACCACGCGACGGGGTGAGCTCCCGTTCCTTGCTCCAGCTCCTGCCCACCTAGCAGTCTGAAAGCATGCAAACGCGAGTAGATAATAGGTATCATTTTGGTGGGAAGGTAACAGCATTCCATGTGCCTAGATGTATAGTCATGCTGGGCACATGACCACGGAAATGCCTTCAGACCATGCTGGCTGTCTCGGTTAAGAAATGGAGATGAGCACCATCCCCCTAGAGTCAGACACCATTGAACATTAGCTTGAGCAGGGTCCGTAAGTTTATCTAGGACGCTACACATCCTCTTCACGACCTGTTTTCCTTGTTCCCTTCTGGGAGGAGGGGGCTCCGTGGTATCCGTAGCAGAACATCCAGATTCAGCTATAGTTTCATTCCATACAGCATTAACCTTGTGAACTCTCAAGCTTCCTCCTTCCGTTATATATTCAAGATGGACAGTATTTAATATTTATTTGTTATTTTATATGTAGTGGTGTGGGTCTATACCAGGGGTAGGCAACCTTGGCTCTTTTATGACTCGTGGACTTCAACTCCCAGAATTCCTGAGTCCGCCATGCTGAGGAGAAATGGAGAGGTTTCCATGCTGAGCCATGCCGGCTCAGGAATTCTGGGAGTTGAAGTCCACGAGTCATAAAAGAGCCAAGGTTGCCTACCCCTGGTCTATACATTTGTTGTATATAGTATGTTTAGGTGTGTGTCATGCATGTGTTTCACTTTGAGAGCGGGCAACTAAATTTCCTTTTTGATGTGTGCCGTTGTGCCCACAGTAAAAAAAATGACAATAAAGGTTATCTTATCTTATCTTGGTCTATGTTCAGTTTATTTTGTAAAAACATTTTCGGCTGAGGCTTCTTCCAGGCATTATGCAGGTTTTAAAAACCAGACGCAGAGTTTTGAACAATGCTGGGGAACGTTGCCTATGCGTTTAATGTGTGTTTTGTTTTTACTAGGCTGGGTGGCATACCACTAGGAGTGGTTGCTGTTGAAACGAGGACAGTGGAACTGAGCATTCCTGCAGATCCAGCAAATCTAGACTCAGAAGCCAAGGTAAATGTTGTTTCTAAGGTAGATGGCCCACATATATAATAATAATAATAATAATAATAATA